AATTCTCATGGGAGCCACGTCATGAGGTACGTGGTTGCACACCTATCACAAGAAGTCTTGCAACATTGACTTTCCTGAGCTCAGTGGGAAAGTCTGGATAGTCCCTCCCCCTTCTGCCACAAGAGCAGTCCTCACATTCACAAGTTTCCAAAGCAGGTCTATTGAGTTTCTTCTCAGAGCGAGCCTTTGTCAAACACCTGGAAGGGGGAATCTCACCCCCAGCAACTCAGATTAGTGCCTTCATTTTAATGCTCCAAACCAATCCTGAGATGCTGCTGGGTTTGTGGGCTGTTTTTTGTTGAACCTCTCCCCAACCGCCCCCGGCATTCGCAATTGAAACTGGAATTCAAGGGCCAAATTCAAGCCCAGAGTGAGCAGTAGGACTTGGACCTCAAAACAGAGCTGCACCTGCTGACCCCCAGCCTGAATTTGGTTCATCCAGAGACTACAAGTCAGAAAGGCATGTTTAGAAAGAAGCATGCTAAGGGCTGATGGTGGAACGACCAAATTGTCCCCACCAGTGCAGTGGGGAAGGCTGGACTGAGAAGGAAGAGAAGGATCCATAGAGATGTGAACCAGAATCAGTTGTGTTGAGCCCTGGGGATATCACTACATGTTTAGCTCTTGCAAGACCATTTGCCCAGGGCTTTGGTACCACAGGGTTAGAGTTACATTAACCACAACCACCAGAGAGGAACTGAGGTTTATGACCCCCCCCAAGGTTAGATTTCTGCCAAGTATAAAGGGGAGGGGAAGGAGGGGGGGGTCCTTGGTTCTTTTCCCTTCACTGTGTGACCGAAGGTTTTGCTTTTATTTGTAAACATCTTGAATTACCCGTCGTTTTCCAGTCTTCATCGCGCTGTTGTCAGGCCACTGGAGAGCACAGCATTTTCTGAGCTGGGCTGGGACTGCTCCTTCACCACTGGATCTGCAGGAGACACAGACCAGGCAGGAAGGGGAAACAGCATTTAACAAAGCGGAAGCTCCACCCTGGCGAACCCTTCCAGAGAAACTGCCCTCGAAACCCACAGAGCTGCTCAGGCTTTCACAGAGCAGGAACCCAAAGTTTGCCCTCACGACCCAAGACCCCTCTCCATCCCAGCTGGCCCCAGCTTCTCCACAGACTCACAGAAATAGGGGTGCTCCATTGCCTCTTTGGCGGTCAGCCTCTGTTGATGGTCATACCGCAGGAGCTTGTCCAGGAGGTCTAGGACTTCAGGACTGACCAGGTGTCTGTTCTCGCTGTGGATGAAGTTCTCCCAACGCTTCCGGGAATGCCTGCAAAGGGAGCAGCTGTCACTGACCAGCTCTGACCAGCTCAGCAGCACCCAGAGGTCCTGGGGGAATCACCTGCCACTATCCACTTCTGAGAAGAGACGGTTGTCTCTTCTCAGCTGTCCAAGCTACAGCTCTTTCTTGGACAAGCTACTGCTCATCAAGCACTTGCTGAAGGGGGAAAAAGCCTCTTTGGGTACACAATTGTGTGGATGTCCTGCGCCTGGGAAAGGCACACTACTGCACATTCCCTTCTGTCTACAGGGACTAGACAACAGCATGCAGTGGGCAGGGTGACACCCTTGTGACCAGAAGTGCTCTAGCTTGCCAGCCAGCCTCACAGAAGTGGTCCTCGCTATCCCACCCACCTCTTGTCCTTTTCAGAAATCCCAACAGGGAGATTTTGAACCCCTCAGCCCAGACTTAACTCCAGTGTCTACATCTCTACTTCTAGGATGTCACTGAGCAGGAAAAGGAAGAAACAGAGGATGGCTCATAGATCATGGGAGAGGCAAAAGGAAAGAGCCTGAATTTCAGTGACCTCCCAAGATGACACAAGCAGCCAGATGGGAGGCCTGCAAGCAGCATTGTGACCCAGAAGATCAAAGCAGGCCCTTGCCGAGAGTCCTTCAAGGGGAGGGACATTAGTTTATCTCCCTTTCTGTGTTACAAGGAAAAAAGACAGCATTTCACTTCTCCACTTACTGGCCCAGGATATCATTGAAGTGCGGGTCCAGTTCTATGTGGTATTTCTTGAGATACCCATACAGCTCATCTGTGCCCAGGACCTTTGCGATGCGAACCAGCTGGAACAAGAGGCATGTTGAGAGAGAGCAGAAGGGCTGGCCACCACTCTTTTGCAGAGGCAGAGCTGCCCAAATCTAAGAGCTCTCCTTCTGGAAACACTCCAGATGGAAGGAATATCTCCCATGAAACTTGTTTTTACAACATATGCAGAAAACAAGTCTCCTACACAAGGCAGTGAAATATAATCCCAGATGGCTTAACTAAGCATGTAGGAACATCCTCCCAGCCTGGTGGTCCAATCCCCAGAACCTCCCCACTATACACACAGAGATGAGGCAGTGAGAAACATCTCATGAAATAAGCCAGGTAGCAAAGTCTTTACTTGGTCATAATTGTCCTGGCCATGGAAGAAGGGCTCCTTTCGGAAGATCATGCTTGCCAGCATACAGCCTAAACTCCACATGTCTAAGCTGTAGTCATACATCTGAGGGGAAAAAGGAGAAGCTGTCAGAAAAGGCATGCTCACCACGGCCCGGTTCCCCAACCGCACAGGCAACCTCAGCCTTTTCACTTCACAGCCAGCCTCTTTCCAACCCAGGCGATGCCCTGGCAGGCAAAACCAGACAACCCAAAGGTGGCCAAAGTGCAACCACAAGTGGTATCAGGGGCTAGCAAGGAGGAGGTAGACTCTTACTTGGTAGTCCACAAGGAGCTCCGGTCCTTTGAAGTACCTAGAGGCCACACGAACATTGTATTCCTGAGCTGGATGGTAGAATTCGGCCAGACCCCAGTCTATGAGCCGCAGCTGAACAATGATAAAGAGACACAGAGTCAGAAGCCTCAGTATGAGCCAGTTAGATGAAGCCATGTTGGCCAAACCTCTCAATCCTGTGATGCAAGTGTGGAGCCCAGGATATAGGGAGGTGCTCTGAGGACAGGAGATGCTCTCAGCAGTGCTCTGGTCAGGTTCTTCCCTTCCCCCTATCACCAGCTGGTGGGGGAAAGCCCAGCTGAGAGAGCTCCTCCATCTCCCGAGTCCAAGCACACTGTTACTGCTGCACAACTGGCTCCTTACCAGCACCACCAGCCACAGTGGACAGGTCGTTGCATACTAGGGAAGAGGCAAAAGCCAGCTCTCTTATCCCGCTGTTTAAAGGGGCTGGGCCAAAGGCAGTGTTGATTTTAACTGGGGGCTGAGAGCAGGAAACGAGGTAGGAGGGAAGCCCACCACATCCTGCAAGGTAGACCATCTCCTCCTCCGCAGCAACGGACGACTTGCTGTGTTACTGAAGGACAATGGGTCTACTAAGAGATTTCCCCTTCCTTGTAAGCCTTGCCTCTACAGACACTGCTGATGGACAGGGAGGGAGGGACCTGTGCACCAGCAAGTAATTTGCTGCCGCAAATCCCAGGTCCCTGGGGAGACAGGTACACACCAGCAGCCAGCAAGGCACAAGTACCATGACAGGGTGGGGAAGCTCCCTGCACTGCCCATTTCCATGGTAGTGAGCTGGGTACGAACATTTCTTGCGATCTATGTAGCTCATCCCAGAAGTGAGGAAGCCACTGCAGGATACGCAGGCTGTGCTACAGGAGTAGCTTATGTTCCCTAGGTGAAAACAGCCACGTGTATTTCAGACAAGGCCACCCTTCTTCTGACCAGGGCCTCTGCATCCTACAGCCACACCTCCCCCAGGTTCAACAGCCCAGACCTGCTTCGCCAAGAAACCCAGCGTGGTTGGCTGGGGGGAAGAGCAACCTCCAAGCCAGGGACTCCCACTGTGGTGCTCCCCAGTGGGACTCTGGCCATCTCCTGATGCAGGCACAAATGGAGGGGAACCAGTAACTAAAGGCTAAAGGGGTAAGTAGAGCTGCCCAGGCTACGGGTACAGAGGCAGCAGAGTTTCAAGTTTCCCTGGAAAGCCCCTGCTTGTCAGCCCTGGTGCCACAGTACCTTTTTCTGTTGGTGGTCTATCATGACGTTGTGGGGTTTGACGTCCCTGTGCATGATCCCCATGCTGTGACAGTAATCCAGGGCCTGGCAGACACACACACATACATTAGACACATCCATAACCACAGGCACAGAGTTAACAACATTACAGACAGTTCTCAGCCAGGAGCAAGAGTGCCTCATCCACAAGGTACTGCTGTAACCCTGGCCCAAGAAACTAGCATGTTCAGTTCTTATGCTGCATATGATGAAGTGACAAGCTGGCAACAAGACTGCATTGATCTTGTGTCCTACTGCAGTCACAGGTCCTGGAACCGTGTTCCCCACAGTGTCTTTGAAGAACACAATGCAGAGAGGCGTCCCACCTGGTGACAAACCCAATGCTCCAACCTGGGTAGCCCTGTGCTTCCTAGGTCACGCTCTCTTCCTCTGCAGGGGATGACTCTTACATGCATACAGTTTTACGGCCTTCTAGTGCAGCTTTCCACCTGTCCCAAAATACACTTAAGCCAGAAAGTCACCTCCACCCTGTTCATTTAAGCTAAACCTGCACTTACAAAAGGCAAGTGAGCATGCGAGGGAGAGCGATGCTGCTTAAAGCTTGACGGCAGGAGCACAAATAAGCTCTCCAGCTCCGTGACTTTGCACCGCTTGCCACCCCACGCAGCTGTTCCCTTGAGCAAGGGAGTGAGAATGTTTTCTCATGTCCAAGGGGGAGGGAGATCCATCCATCAACATCTGTCAGATGCTCTGAGATCTCCAGCAGCATGGAAGGAGGGTACAGGCTGCAGTCATTCAATATCCAAGACACCAGTGCCAGGGAAGTAACACTGTCCTTGGGCCTTTGCCGCAGCAGGAAGCACAGGAGGCAACAGCATCCACCACAGCAAGGCCTCACGGAACACCCCTGCAATGACATGTGGCCTTGCAACCAACAGGAGTCACAGCAAACAGTGGTCCTGGGATGTCCAGTACAGGACATCCATAACAGGCTGGACAAACTGCTTCCAGGGTGAAGCTTTCTAGTGTCTTGCTTTGTCCCAAGGCTGGATCATCTAAACCTCATCACCCCTCCCACCTTAATCCTGGGCTGCTTCAGGCCCCCTCCAACCTTCAGTAGGAAGGTCCTTCCCTTGCAGAAAGGTGCAGAGAAGAAAGTCTCCTTCAAGCCCACTAGATCTATTTCAGGAAGTCTCCTGCAGTCACCAAGTCCTGAAGCACAATGGGCTTTACCTAGCCTGTCCCATTCATTACCAGAGGCATGGGACCTGCAAAGTGCCAGCCCACAAGTCCCAAGGCCCTGCTAGGATCTGACACAACCAAGCTGCTGCTCCAGCAGGTCAGCACAGAACAGCCCTGGGATCAGCCCAAACCTGTAGGCTCTCCCTAAGGCCCTGCTGCCTCCTGTGTCCTGCATCCAGAGACCCCAGAGGCAGTGCAGCAGGTAGAGATCTGCCATATGGTTCCGTGAGCATTTCCATGGGGACGTGCAAGCTGGGCTAGTTAAGAGGAAGTATTTAGAGCACTCCTTGCCCTTTGTTAGGGGGGCAGGGAAAGCTTTGGCTGGGACGTCTCAAAGGAAAATACCAGTGTTATATCAACATACAACAGTCAGCATAACCAGAAGCTTCGTTCCCCAAGATGACATTCATGGGGTTCTGTGACCACAGGGCACTGAGCTGGCCAGCCTGTTCTTGGAGGTGTCCTAGATTCCCCACCCAGAGACATGGGGGTCTAAGACCAAGTGGGCAGAAGTCACCTTCTGGGGCTGCATTTGAATACCACAGCAGAAGAAAGCCTGGAGCTGGCAATCCCTCTCTTCTGCTCTCCCTAGCTTGCTAAAGAGTCCCCGGTTCCCCAGCCCTGCAGATGCCTCTCGGTGCTTGTACTGGGTCTAGCTGGGAGGGACCTGCTTTTCCTTACACCAGCCCAACAGTGCTAGATACACAGGGAGACCAAGCACAGCCCCACCTGGCCACTAACAATCACAAATGCTTCACAGGGAAAGAACAGAGAGTCAGAGACTCTTTGGAGGTAACCAAAGGACCCCAGTTTGGTTGTAACACCTCAAAGCAACAAACCAGGTAACCAGATCTCTTCCCAAACCTTCCTGGGTTACAAGACACAGATTCTGCATTGAACACAAGAAATGTAACTGCTTAGTAGCACTGCCCCGTGAGCCCCGCTACTGCCTCTCTCATTCCTGGTCTCACATCCAGACTGTCATATGCAATGCCACTCACCTTCAGCAGCTCATACATATAAAACCGAATATCAAAGTCTGTCAGGATCTGGTACAGTTGCTGAAACAGATTTGGGGGGGGGGAGGGGAGAGAAACAAAAATAAATACTCCAGACTTGGATTAGTTTAGTTTCCTGCACCCCACCTGCCTCCAATCACTGACCCCATTCAGATTCCCTGTGAACGCTGACACTCCCAAGAGCTGTCCTGGCCTCGGACCTGCCAGGGCTACACACCAGGAAACTGAGAAAGGACGCACGAGCTCCCACGAAATGCTACTGGGATCATTCAGACCTGTCACAACTTCTTTCCAGCAGAAGACAGGCAGGCTGTCTGTCAAAGGAGAAGACAGCAAGCCCTTCAAAGCATGCTGGAGTTGGTACAGATGATCTTGACTCTCTGTTCACATGCAAAGTTATCGCGGTGACTTGACAACAGCATTCAGAGCAGGGTGGCTGGGAACATATGGGCAAAGCTCATACTGCTCAGGGTAGGGCAGGGAGAGGAAAACACTAACCTAAAGGAGCATGGGGTGGGGAAGCACAAAGGGTAGAGACAGCCTCCAAGCCATGGAGGCTTCCCTCTATCCCAGCATAAAGGCTAATGCAACCCAAGAGCACAGAAATGCTCATGGGGCCAAGGAGCGCTGCTCAGAATCTCAGGGAAGTGCCGAGTTCATGTTCACCACCCTCCTCTCCTGTGTCCTTCTGTGGCTACTCATATGGAAGTGCTAAAGATCCAGGGTGCACTTCAACCTGCACTGTGCCACCAGAACTGTCACTGGAGAACTCATCATCCTGCTGCTCCCACACCAGGTCACAACTAGCCCCAAACTTATCTTCTGCTCTATATCTGTCACTGGCAGCGGTGCCAGCCTGACCCCATGGGGCTGTGCTCTCATCCAGGGAAAGCAAGGCCAGGGCAGGGCAAGGAAGGACATTCACAGGGCAGCAGTAGGACGAGACCCCTCTGCCATTTCTAACAAACAAGGATCATCTCACAGCTCAGTCAAATCACCGATTGCATCAGCACTGGAGCCAGCTGTCCTCCATGGTCACCACTTGGCAGCTTCAGGAGAAATCCCAGAGCGAGGGATTGAAATTCACATTCCAAGAAAGCAATGCTGGCTCCAGATCCTCTCCAGGCCCACGCTGAGATCCTCAGGATCCTATCCTACTTAGGGCCAGCTCCAAACAGCCCCATCACCCCCAATACTGCTCTGGGAAATCATTTTGACAACATACAAATGTCACTTACACATGCAGAGCTTTAATGGCCTCCAGGACACAACCTGCATTGCGTTCTCAAGAATTGGGATGATCCTAACACTTTGGAGCAATCCACTGAAGCAGACAAGTGAGCAGGGAGCGAAAAAGACATAGCCACAAGCCACAGCAGGGATAGATTTCCTGACTGGGTTGCGCATGGTTCTGGTGCACGACCCAGGGCCAGCAGAGGACAGCTGAGCCCTTCCAGGAGCTTGTTCAAATGGCTTGCTTAGGTAACCAACACTATCAGGGGACAGAGATGCTTAAAACATGTCTTTCTGGGAATCATCACCCTGTTCAACTTCGCCTGGCAACATCAATGCGCCTGGGGATGGAGGAGGGCAGGAGAGGCAGTGGAAGAAGGCTAGACCCCATTTTCCCCATTTCCTGGCTCCTCTGCCTCTTGCTGCCTGTGAGCAGGGAGGGGATGGAAGGGAGGTCACTGATGCCTTTCTTCTCAGGCCCACTTCTGTGATTCATAGCCTTCAGCAGAGGTAGCCGTTGGGCAACCAGCTTTCAACAGACTTCCCTAAAAGAGCTGCCTGTGAAACCCAGCACCTCTGACCCTCTCACTGTGCCAAGGTCAACAGTGTGACAAGCAGCACCGAGGCTCCACTTGCTGTGGGGAGCAGTCCCTGCAGGAGCGTGCTCAGCTCCACTGGCTGCAGTCAGTGGACACAGAAGACTTTGAAGGACAGGGCCAAGGTGTCCACTGCAAGTGGGTCTGGCACAGCAGCTGCCCCAAGAAGGCTCTGACAGTGGGCTCCAAATCCTCTTTGCCCAACCTAGCAGGGGAGAGCAGACACCTCCTTCACAGGTATGCCCCACGGTCTGTTCTTACAGCTGGCTCTCTGGGGTGAAACTATCAGAAACATCACTGTGGGCACCACTCAGACACAGCTCAAACTTCTGCTCAGCTGGATGCCAGCACTCAGGATTGCACAAGGCCTCAGAGACCTGGGCTGGTCTCCTTTCTCCATACTGAGCACAAAGAAAGGCCAAACTCACCCACCAGCAGCCTCCACCCCTCTCCAGCTTTCAGTGCTATTTTGGCACACGTCATGTAACCAATCGTAAACTAATCCCGTTATTGCCCGAGGAGGCAGAGACTTGCTTCCCCTCTCCATGGGGCTGACAGGAGTTAAATGCTTATTCTCCTCCCTTGAGTGAGCGACACAGCTGGCTACATGCAGAAAGCAGCATCTACAAAGCAAGAGGGTGGCTACGAGGAGCTGTCGGAGGAAAGACAGACTGCTTTGGGGTACAGGGCAGGCAGCAGCAAAAGAAAAGGAAACAGCTCCCAAAGCATCCCAGCCTCAGCAGCCATGCAAGGGAGGAGAATCTTTCATGCTTCTGCATCACCTATGCAGGGCAACAACTATTTTTTAAACTAACGTTGGCTGTAAAAGGATAAAACACAGGCACACACTTTCCTGACAACATCTTGGCCTGAAAATTCACCAATGGGCATGCAAAGTGGAAGGTTTGACTCAAGAGCCCTTATCCCGACAACTCCAACAGGTTGAACATCCTGAAGCAACCTTTCATCACTCACCTTTCTTGCCCATCTCCTCTTCTTCAGCTGTGAACCTGCCAGTGTGTTTCAATAACAAAATAGCAAACCCAACCCAGCGCTGCTCCTGCAGACCTGGCTCTGCTCCCTTCTTTACCGAGGGATTTGCCTCTTGGGGACACTGAAAGGCACAGTACCAGGTGTGCTCACAGACTCCACAAAATAAATGACAGCTGATGGTGGCTGAAGGACAAGCATCCCATTTCTAGTTTGAAAGCAATTAGCAAAAGACATTTGATTTCACTGACCATTACTCAGTTGACTGCATGACTCCGCAGTGCAGCCATCAATTAAGGCAGATGACTGTGAGTAGCTCGAGTGCTCACAGATGACAAGTCACACAGCAGGTCTGAAGAGAAACACTAGCCCCGTACACAAGCTGCCATCTTCACACAGCAGAACACGCATTTAGTCTAGTTTCAACTCATCATCCCTGTGAGTACAGAGCCATCACTTTCAGAAGGGACCCAGCCTGGTAATTTAAGAAAATGTAATCAGCTCTAGGGAGGTATCACCTAAGTCTCCTGTTTATACTGTCATTTAAAAATAGCCAAACCGTATGGAATACAAGCTTGTGCTTCTGACCTGGATTCATCCACAGCCATGCCTTAGGCCTCACAGAACTGCAGCTTCTGCCCATGCACACAGAGCCATTTTAATGTGTGCACAGACACGAATAGTGGCCTGTCCATTTGAATGGGCAAAAGGGTGAAAGTATTAACATAAAGCAAGAAACAATAACGTTGAAGGAAAGAAACTGCCAGAAAGGAGACAACTGAGAAGACATCCAAGCTTGCAATCAACTATTGCCAACAGGACAGAGAAAAATGCAATCCTGTAAAGTGGCCTTTGGGGCTGGGCTGTTCAGTCTGGAGAAGAGGAGGCTCCGGGGAGACCTTCTAGCAGCCTCCCAGTACCTGAAGGGGCTCCGGGAAGGCTGGGGAGGGACTTTTGACAAGGGCAGGGAGTGACAGAACAAGGGGTGATGGCTGGAAGAGAGGAGATTTAGATGAGACATTAGGAAGAAATTCTTTGGTGTGAGGGTGGTGAGACAGTGTCCCAGGTTGGCCAGAGAAGCTGTGGCTGCTCCTCCCTGGAAGTGTTGAAGGCCAGGCTGGATGAGGCTTTGAGCAACGTGGTCTAGTGGAAGGTGTCCCTGCTGATGGCAGGGGGGTTGGGACTGGATGAGCTTTAAGGTCCCTTCCAACCCAAACCATTCTGTGATTCTGTGGTCAGCAACAACCTGCTGTACACAAGCTGTCCTGGGAACCCCCCTCAAACACCCTGAAGGTGATTTGCCAGCGAGATGCATGGTACTCATCAGTACTGCTGATCCAGAAGTCAAAGCAGAGATGGGTAGATCAGTAACAGCCACCTCAAAAGAAGAGGTCCCTGTCACCAGATGAGTTCACGTGGGACTTAAGTCCAGCAGAATTTGGCTGCCTGGGTAGATCAGGACTGTGGAACAGAGGAGACAATGAGTAGGTGCTCTCCAGCTGCTTCATGTACAGAGGTATGGGGCAAGCCAACAACTCCAACACAAGTGGTCTCATCTACTCTGTCCACTTTTTGCTTGACAAGGGCACTTCAGAGCAAGGGAAGGAACAGCTTGGGAGCCTCTGTATAGAAGATATCATAGAATCATGGAATGTATTGGGTTGGAAGGGACCTTCAAGTCATCTAGTCCAACCTCCCTGCAGTGACAGGGACATCTTCACTAGAGCAGGTTGCTCAGAGCCCCATCAAGCCTGAACTTGAATATCTTCAGGGATGGGGCCTCCACCACCTCTTTGGGTAACCTGTTCCAATGATCCACCACCCTCATATTGAAGAACTTTTTCTTCATATCCAACCTAAATCTCCCCTTTTCTAGTTTAAAACCATCACCCCTTGTCCTATTGCTACATGCCCTTGTGAACAGTCCCCAGCTTTCTTACAGGCACCTTCAGGTACTGGAAGGGTGCTAGAAGGTCTCCCTGAAGCCTTCTCTTCTCCAGGCTGAACAGCCCCAACTCTCTCTCAGCCTGTCCTCACAGCAGAGCTGCTCCAGCCTTTTGATGATTTTTGTGGCCTCCTCTGGACCCGCTCCAAAAGGTCTTCGTCCTTCTTGTGCTGAGGGCTCCAAAAATGGACACAGTATCCACAGGCATCTGTGAGTAGCAGCAGCTTTGTAATCTGCAAGTTAGCTGTGGCCCCAAGAACCTACCCAAATAAGCAGCAGAGCTCAGGGCAGTGTAGCTCAAATAACCCACACGCCCCATACATAGCTAGTGAAATTCAGGTGACGAATAAGCTCTGACCACAAACAGCCATACGGCGTGCCCTGGGGGATACGCTGCATTCCCAAGACAAGTTATTCCTGCCTTGTACCAATCAGCATCAAAAGCATCAACACCTGTCTTGGACTGGTACAGCTGTGAATCTGGACTTCCTTGAGGAACGAGGTTTTCTCCTAAGAACCTAGAAATGATGGGCTGCAAACTCATCCAATTGTTCCAGAGCTGAGCATTGCTACTTCTGCTGTGGCCAGACCAATGTTGCTTCACTTGCTGCAAGTGCCTGCGACAGCTCTCAGCATGGGTGGGACAGCTGACCTGCCATCTACTCCAAGCCCTCTATTTTTCAGTTAAGAGTCCCTCATGGCCACCAGCCTCAAGTTACTACTAATGCTCCACTTTGTGAATGTATTTCAGTTACTGGTCAATATCTTTAAAGGTAATTTTTTCCTCTAAGGACATGACAGAGTGCTGTAATCATATTTTGACTAGGAGACACACAAAGCAATCCTCAGCAAGCTGCTCTAGCAACCTATTTTATCTCAAGCTGTGTATTAAAAATAAAAATAAATAAATAAATAATAGCTAAATAGAAAGTTAAAAAACTTCCTGGATCAGCCTTATGAAGAGTCCCTGGGTCACCAGGAGAACCACAGGGGCACATTCCCAACATACAACAGCCCAGCTGATGTCATGGCAAGCCCAGGCAAGCCAAGCCTGCTTTCATTAGCCCTGAAAAGTCACCACATAGAACTCCTCTCATGGCTGTTTGCTTGGTGGAAGCAACACTCACCTCCCCACCCAGAGCTGTCAGGGTAAATGCTGCTGCAAGTCACTCTTATTCTAGCCTCTGCAGTAGAATCATAGAATGGTTTGGGTTGGAAGGGACCTTAAAGATCATCTAGTTCCAACCCCCCTGCCATCAGCAGGGACACCTTCCACTAGACCAGGTTGCTCAAAGCCTCATCCAGCCTGGCCGAGAACACTTCCAGGGAGGGGGCATCTACAACTTCCTTGGGCAACCTGTTCCAGTGTCTCACCACCCTCACAGTGAAAAACTTCCTCCTAACGTCTAATCTAAACCTCCCCTCTTTCAGCTTAAAGCCATTTCCCCTTGTTTTGTCTTTAGTTGTCCTTATGAAAAGTCCTTCCCCAGCTTTCTTGTAGGCCCCCTTCAGGTACTGGGAGGCCGCTATAAGATCTCCCTGGAGCCTTCTCTTCTCCAGGCTGAACAGCCCCAACTCTTTCATCAGATTAAATAGCACTAAGAACACACCAGCACCAGCATGGCTGCAGCTCTGGCTATGCACAGGGTCTCACCCAGCAGGATTCAGCTCGCCAGACCAACCCCAGAGGGACAGAAACAACGCGTGCTGCCTTGCAGCGTGCAGGGCTGCAGGTGAGGTGCTCTGTGGCCAGCTGACAAGCTGCCTCCTTTCCACCAGCACCAACCCTGGGCCCTTCTCTGGGTGTTTGGTGCATCTGCTGAAGCTGCATCCTGCAAGGCGTGGACCTACGTAATGCTCCAGCACAGACAGGAAGAAAAAAGCGCTGTCCCGTAACACGGAATGACAGAGATCTCTGCACAGGGCGGGAGGGAACGACTGCTGGCTTTCTAATGGCAACTGCTCAATTAATTCTCCACCACTGACTTAATAACTTAGGGTAAAGATTCACATGGGGGAAGCAAAGATACCATTAAAACAGGCGTAGTTGCTAATTATATATCCCTTCTGTGCATCAGCTTGCTGCTGCCAGACAGCAGCATTTCAGTAGCTGCACACAGACAGAAGGACCCCCATTTTGGGAAGAAGTAATATCATTGGAGCTCCCCAGAAATTGGAAGAGCTGCATTCTCAGGCAAGCAGAAAAGCTCTGAAGATGTATTTGAGACTTCTCAATCCCCTACTACCGGTCCCACCAGCAGTGGGAGACATGCTCTGCAGCCTCTGCCACCCCATAGTCCCCAGGTCTGAAGGATTCCAGCACAAATCGGTGTCACCTGCTCCATCAACTGCGCTGCTGTAAATAGAGCATTGCAGCCCAGTGATTAACTTGGGCTGAATGTATAGCACAGTAGTAATTACTTAATTGAGAGGGGAGTAAGACTATCTAACCTGTTGAACTTCCTCCTCGAAGTCGGAAGGAGATTCAGCACACAAGCTTTTTATTCCTTCTCTTGTAGAGCCTATTTACAGGTGTCTCATTTACATGGGGAAAGGAAGGCAAAACTGACACAGGTGAAAACCCCAAACTTGCCCCACAGCTCCAAGGAGTATCTGCCAACCCAAGATCACAGCACCCTCAACAGAAATGGAAGCCTGCCCCCTCCACACTCAGGTAGACTCACCTTAAAATCTGTGTTATTGATGTACTCAAACACCAGAGCAGGGGTCTTTGACTGCAAGAGAGAGAGAAAGAGAGTCATGGTTTAAAACCCCCTCTTGAACTTTCTTTGCTCCAAGAGACCTGAGAAAGATTTTGCTTCTTGCCAACCCTCCCTGTGGGGAGCAGGCTAGGAACAGGACAGCAAGGGAAACGCAGGCAAGGTCCGCCTATGCCCCATGCAGCAAACACCAACATGGCACTTTGGCCAGTGCTGTTCCTCTTCCTCCCCACGCCACGGAGCAGAGACAGCACTGGGCAAGGCAAAAGGTGTCACCAGGGGCTAAGACCTCGCAGCCCATCGCAAGAGGAAGGTCAGCCAGGACTGCCAACGCAACAGCAACGTCATTTCCTCCCCGTGGCTGCCAGCAGGCTGGGAGTCGCAGACCTCAGCCAGCTGCGAGTCAGAGAAAACTTCCCGGGAATGGGGTAATTGTGGCTATGCAGAAAAAGGATATGACTTCTGGTCACTGGGCAGAACAACCACCAGAAGGATGAAAAGTGCTTAATATCCAATTGCCCTGGCAGACACTTGTGTTCCAGGTGCCAGACAGGAGCTGGAAGGCTACAGGGCTCTGCTTTCTTACAGAACATTTGTAGGGCTACAAAACTTCTCCCCCATCAGCCATGGGGGAGAAGACTCACAGAAGACACAGAAGGGGTGTAAAAGAGTCTGGGGAACATGGAGGAGAACACAAGCCCACACAAACCAGACCACCTCAGGAGACCCTAATGAGCTGGACACTGCTCACCCCTGGCTGGCAGGAAGGCACAGGCAGCACCTGACCGCAGCTGAGAGCAGAAGTGGTGCGGTGGTGCCTGCCCTGCGCCTGCAGCCGGTCAGGAGGCAAACCCACCACACACCCCACGACACACAGGCACCTACCACCGGATCCTTGACAGTGTCAATCAGATTAATGATGTTGGTGCCACCACGCAGATTCTCCAGAATCTTAACCTCGCGTTTTATCTTCTTTTTCTTCACTGGCTTAAATAGACAAAAGAAATGAGAAGTAAGAGTCCTTTCAGAAATTAACACTGATTTCTGCCACCGATTTTGACTGGATCACATCACCTCCCCTTCTCCTCTCTCTGCTCCCACCCTCACAAGGGAACATTTTTAGCTTCAAAGAGACATACACCTTGCAGGAACTAGGATTTCCCTCTCATCAGGCGAAAAACCACTCCAGACAAACATACTGTGACGCCAGTAACTGTGGTTAAGAGTGCCTTGGACTGCCATGTGGAAATCTCAGCACACTCATTCTATGTTATATGTTTAGAGCCACAGAACAAGCATGGTGGCCCTCATAGCTCAGCTTTTGTGTACCAGCACAAACCAGTTTTTTACTCCTTAATCTCAACCCATTTCCAACAAGTACTTTAATCCAATGAAATGATGACCTGAGAGTCTCCAACACCAAGATTTCTACTAAGCTCAGACACTGCTACACCTAACTACGTGCAGGCATCTTTCGCAACCACTCCAAAAGCACAGATCCAACTGCACAGAATGCCATCACATCCATATACCATCATTATTTTTAAAGCCTAGAGAAATTTTAAACAGTTTTTTACTCTTTCCTGAATCTGCAAGTCCTAGGAATTCCCTTCGCAAAGTAAACTTTTCTCTGGTCATCGCCCTGCAGAGAGTGACAAAGAACAGCTGCTCCCAAGGCAGGGGCTGGGAGGCTGGCTTAGCGTTCACACTCTGCTGATCCAGCGGTTCACTTCAACGCAAAGGAATGATCCTTTCTGTAACTTATCTGCTCCCAGGACAACCCTAGCTCTGTGCCTGCTTGAAAGAAAAGGCAGCTTAGAGCAGCTAAGAGGTGAGACTTCTTTAAGGAGTCTTGGTTAGTGACCAGTGTGGGCATCACTGGCTGCAAGTCACCGAGTTCAGCAGCCTTTCATTGCAGAGCTGGCACGTCCCCTCCTGCACACGGGTACTGCTGCAGAGAGCTGCAGAGGCATCCTGCAGGGAGTGGTGAAGCCCCTGCCCTATCTCTGAGCTTTGCTGATGAAAACACTCTTCTCCAGACATTAAGTTTCCTAAAACATTCACCATCCAGCACGGAGTCTGATGTGTGAGGAGGGGAGTAAGGAGGAATGGCAAAGATGTACCAGGAACCTTACCAAAGTGACACACATTTTCAGATGTCTGCGTGAAGGACAAGGAGCCACGAGAGCTCAAGAGCTCATGCTCACCACCTCGCCTCTGCCGCGGCCTCCCACTTTGAGGATGGCTGCAGAATGCCAATGGGGCAACTGACGCTCCCCTTACAGGTGAATCCAAGGCAGTTCTGGTTTCAGAGCCCTCACAGCAATGTACGAGCAGACAGGAGAAGGAACAGAAGTTTTTTATATAGTGGGAAAATATGGCATTTACACAAGTGATAAAATACGCTGTCTTTCTAAGCTCTTCAGGCGGCTGAAATCTTTAGATTCAAATCCTGCCCTTCTCCTCTCCCAATTCAAAAGGCAGGAGGCTAGACTTCCAAGCCAAAAGATGAGAACCTCAGCCCCAAGCAAAGTGCCAAAAATAACACCGATGCCAGCACAGGGAGCGTCAGCACCTCATATAAAGCCACTGTGGAAAACAGCAACAAGGCCACCGCAGCTGTCAGCCAGAACTGGAGTGACTTGGGGCAGGGTTCGCTGGGGAAGGGGCCACCAACATCCCTGGGGCAGTACCCAGACACAGCTGGAGCCAGTGGGACGTTGGACAGACAGGGAGAAGCAGCCAGAGCAGAGGGATAGAAATCAGAAGAAGTGAGGGCTACATTTCTGAACCTGAGAGAAAGATGCTTCATTAGGGACTAATTTAATCTACGTCAGCATGGGGACGGACACCACCCTTGCATTGCCCACACGCACTGATCTTACCAAGAAGGCCAAGATGGAATTAGAGGATGTAATTCCGTTACTCTGCTCGTCCAGCAACGCAGATGCACACACAAACTGTTTTCCAGAGAACTTCAAAGACGGAGCTGAGCCACAGCTGTCCTGAAGCGCTTGCTGAACGGCCTGGCTCCCAACAGACATGCACCACAGCCTCTCTGCCGTGACACCTGCACCTGATCGGGAGCTGAAACCGTGCCTGAACACAGCCAAGAGGCCCGAAAGCCCACTCTGAATTACCTTTGTCTTTGTACTGTAGTTATTTCAATGGCCTTTTGCGTCAGCTAGGTAGGGGAGGATATCCCTCCAAGATTTCCATTTCTCCTTCCCTAGCAGCCACCATGCCCACTGGAGCAGATGTTGTCTTCCAGTCACTTCCACATGTTTCCACCTTTTTCAGGAAGGGAAAACGATGCCCTGAGTCATCTCCACCAGAAATCTACTCCCACTCACTCATTAAAAGACACAATCAGACAGAACCAGCAACTTCTGGAAAAAAGGAAGAGTGTTGGTCTCTTTTCAATGAAAAGCCTGCAGATAATCGCCAACAGCATCACCTCTCACACCATCAAGGGAAGGCACTCCAGCAAATGCTGTCTTACCAAGAGGGAGAGCTAAAAGCCGCTCGCTCGCTGTTTGCACATTTTCCTTCTATGCTGCAGTAGCACAGAGCTCGGGCCAGGCTGTCCACACATGGTTGCAGCACCTCCACGTCAGCTGTGAGCCGGGGCAAGGGCCCTGCAAACCTCTGGGCAGGGTGGGGGTACGGGAAGCCCTGCTCATTGCAGGGTTCTCAGCAGTGAACCGTCAGAGCGCTCTCCCTACCTGCAGCCAGGGATCAGGACAGGGTTTTCCACCACTAGGTAAATAGGGCTGAGGTGGGGAGAAATGCCACGGGCTGAAGCAATGTCAACTTAAGAGGAAAAGCTATTGTCTGGAAGTTTCCTCAGAGAGCAATGCAGGGGAACAGAGGATTTCCCCATTTCAGATTTGCAGGAGAAAAGAGTGGTGATGGCTGGCCTCCACTCCACCCCACCCACCTTTCACCTTACCAGCCAATATGTCACCTCCTACCCAGGCGTTGTCCCACACCATCGCTCCAGCCACAACTGCAAATGCCATCTACTACCCAAGAGCACACCACTGGGGCTCAGTCTTTGCCCAGTAACCAATTCCAAGCCCAGGCTCTTGCATCAGGCAAGTCAAACACCTTGGTGCAAACCGCTCCAGCGCACAGCCAGTACTGCACTGGAGCAGTCACAACCACAGAAAGAAACTCTGCTTACTTCCCTGCTGTCCCCAGACACCAGTACTGCTGAAACCACAGGCAGTCAGCAGCACATCCTCCAAGCACCAGGATTAAGTCTGGGTTGCTACAACTGTCTTTCAGAGTCACCCGATCTGTCTCTCCAAGGATGTTGACTCCAAACACACATGGATTAAATGTGAACTAACTTAAGCTATTATGGCCTCCAGCCATCTGCCTCTCTCAGCAGGGAGAGCTTCTAAAACACCAACCCTTGCAGCCAGAGTGTTTTAACAGTCCTCCTTTAAGGGTATTTTATTAAATCAAGCTATGAAGAGCAGCATTTCAGGTTGTGTTTCCTACATGGCTCAGTTCCCCTCCCCTGGGAGGGGTATTCCCAGCAGAGAACAGAGCAGGCACCTACACAAAATTAACTGCTCTTGAGTTTGATCCGCCTGTTTGCAAGGCAACGGTTTATACAGGTGCAGACTCCAACTCCATCTGCTCTCACGGCAGAGGCATTTCAAAGCTCTCCTCCATGCTGGGATTCTCCAGTGACTAGTATGACTCAAACCCTCACTGCAGCCTTTCCCTCTGAGACAGGCTCCGACAGAGTCCCTCTGCTCTATGGAAACACCTATTTCCATGAAATCTGTAAAAACTTGACAGCTTGGAGACTTCTGTCATATTTGGTTGAAATTGGCCAACCAGTGCAAAAACTACTGGGAGAGAGAAGGGGGAGACAGGCTGACAGACAGCAGGATTGCATAAGGCTCGTTTCCATAGGAAACCAGGCTAAAAGACATGTCTCAGTTTAACCGTGTCTACACTGGGAGGGGTTTAATTACTTCAACTGCAGCAGTACCCTTAGAACAACATGACTGTCTAGCACAAGCCAGTTTTCCAGTTGCCCAGGAAATTGCTTCCTTCCTCAGGAAAACTGGAAGTGAGGTGGCTGGAGATGGTAGAGACAAAACCACAGCTCACGGCTCTACACCATGCTGAGCGCCCAGCGCAGAGGGCCAAGGTGACCTTCAGCTGCAGGAGGATGGTCTCTGATGGACCCAGCAGCTCCCACTCAACTGTCCCCAGCCAGCCACTCTTTGCTGCAGGTTTCCCACCCTATGAGCCAAAAGGATCCCATGAGGGTGCTTCAATCCACTTGAAAGTCAGGCAGAAGAGGCAGCAACAGCATCCAGTGTGACCCCAACTGCCTTTGCCCAAAGATTGGGGAGCGTCATGCGATGCCATCCCTCTGCAGAGGTGAGAAATGGCACGGGATAAGGAGCTGCTTTACAGTCAGGTAGATGCAGAAGAAAACACCTCTTTGTGAACAAGAGATCAGATCCTGGGTCATCTGTGAGATCATGTAAACTTGTAAGCAGGGAAGGAGTCCAGCCACAGCAAACACCAGCCGGGAGAAGATAATTAACATTGTTTGCTAAAATAAACCTTTAAATACAAGGCTGCAACAATCACTTCCTGCCTTGAACGAATAAATGACTGCTTGGTTAATCATCTTTTTTGCTTGGTTTCTAAAGCAAAGGGAGTACACTCTTCTGTCAGCTGCTTCAGTTCCAGCCTTCCCCAACAACCTGGGGACCCACCACTGAATTCAAGCAAAGACAGAAAATAAAATTTTTATCCAAACTTCTCTGCACATTTCCACACTGAGAAAGAAAAGTAGCGACCACGAAGGCATGTGAAATATGAGTTAAATCCAAAGTGCAAAACCATTTTACATTAGACAAAAGCAAGCAGCACACACACACTGCCAGCTGAGGAGCACGTGTGCTGCTCTGAAGGAGTTACAGAAGGTGCTGGGTTTTGCCCAGCAGCTG